GTGTGTGTGTGTGTGTGTGTGTGTGTGTGTGTGTGTGTGTGTGTGTGAGAGAGAGAGAGAGAGAGAGAGAGAGAGTTTGCATAAATGTGTGTCTGCCCAAGAGAGTATGTGACTAGGTGCATGTATAGTGAGAGTGTATGTGTGTGTGATGTGTAAATAGAGACATTGGGGCCAGGCTGCGGTGGAAGGAGCCCCGAACCTGGCCTCAGGTCCCTGCTGCCTGGGGGCCGTAGAACCATTCTCTCCCCTCTCTGGGCCTCAGTTTCCCCCCTCTGTACAATGGGGGGAAGTGGCCCAGAAGCGGCCCTTCCATGACCCTTCCCTTATTGTCCTCTGCTCCTGAGTGTGTGAGTGACTGCTGGACAGCCTCGGGAGGGAAGGAGCTCCCCATGCCCCATGCAGGGTGTGATGGAAGGTGATGCTCAGCCCCATGCAGGTTGGGGAGGTGCCTCTGAGGTCCCTCCTTGCTCAGAGAGTCTAGGAATCTGTGACTCTCTGGGTGAGGACATGCAATGTTGGGGTGTGTGTGTCTGCATGAAGGTGTGAGGGTGTGAGCGTGTGCATATGGTCTCAGCGTGCTTGGGGCGGCCGAGCTCCCACTCCTGCGTGGGAGTGTGTGCGTGTGTGCGTGCAAGGGGTCTGATTGCTGCCGCCTCGCTGTTTATTCGCCTGAGTTTTTCTTTTGTAAATAAAGAGACAACTTATTAATGTAAATTAGGAACAGGGCAGGGTGTCCGGCAGAGGGCCTGTGGCCCTGTCTGAGGCTCTAAGGGCCGGCCTGGTGCAGATGCTGCTGCAGCTGCTGTCTCTGGGGACCCTGGGGCCTCCCAGCCTCTCGGCAGCGATCCTGAAGAACCCTGTCCTCCAGCCCCCTTTGTAACAGGCCCCCAGGGCACCGACTCCCCAGGGCCTCCTGTCACACACCCTGAGTCTGACCCAGGAGCCTGGGACACGGGAGGACCTGGGTTTGACTCCCAACTAGCCTCTTTCTAACTCAGTTAGTGTCCGGGGTTCTGGCCCAACCTGGGAGTGTCCAGCGTTTTAGCTAGGCCTAGGAGTGTCTGGGGTTCTGGCCTAGCCTGGGAGTATCTGAGGTTCTTGCCTAACCTAGGAGTATCTGGGGTTCTGGCCCGGCCTGGGAGTGTCTGGGGTTCTGACCCGGCCTGGGAGTGTCTGGGGTTCTGGCCCGGCCTGGGAGTGTCTGGGGTTCTGACCTAGCCTAGGAGTATCTGAGGTTCTTGCCCAACCTAGGAGTATCTGGGGTTCTAGCTTGGCCCAGGAGTATCTGGGGTTCTGGCCCAACCCAGGAGTGTCCAGGGTTCTAGCTCAGCCCAGGAGTGTCTGGGGTTCTGGCCCAACCTGGGAGTATCCGGGGTTCTGGCTCGGCCCAGGAATATCCAGGGTTCTATCTTGGCCCAGGAGTGTCTGGGGTTCTGGCCCAGCCCAGGAGTGTCTGGGGTTCTGGCCCAGCCTGGGAGTATCTGAGGTTCTTGCCTACCTGGGAGTGTTTGGGGTTCTAGCTCAGCCCAGGAGTGTCCAGGGTTCTGGCCCAGCCTGAGAGTGTCTGGGGGTCCTCAGCCCAGCTGGGTCTCTAACGCTGTCCTTCCCCCACCCGGTTACAGAAACCATATGCCTGCCAGATCCCCGGCTGCTCCAAGCGCTACACGGACCCAAGCTCCCTCCGCAAGCACGTGAAAGCCCACTCAGCCAAGGAGCAGCAGGTACGGAAAAAGGTAAGTGTCTCCTGGGCCCTGATGGCACTCCAGGGAGCCGCCTCCTGGGGCTTCAGCCTGCTGGGCCTGAGCACTTGTGGCAAAGAGGCGAATGCAAATCCCGGCTCTGCCTGTGGCTGCCTACAGGATCTCAGATGAGCTACTTAATACAAGGGGAAGGGGGGATCTAGCACGTATTAAGCACCTACTGTGTGCCAGGCTGAGCACTCTTGCAGAATGCTTTCCATACATTCTCTCATTCAAGTGCTACAACATCCCTAGGGGAGAGGTGTTATAGGTATTTGTACCCTCATTTTACAACTGAGCAAACTGAGGCCAAGAGAGGTCTTCCTGTGGTCACACAGCATGGCAGGATTTGAAATCTCTCCTGACCCTGAAGTCAAACACTCCATCCACTTCACTTTTCTGAGCCTCGGTTTCCTCATCTGTAAAATGAGGTGCAGTGGAGAGAGCGCACGGCACTTGGAGTCAGAAAGACCTGAGTTCAGATGCAGCCTCAGACATTTTGCTAGCTGTACGAGCATGGGTGAATCACTTAACTTTTGTGGGTTCAGTTTCCTCACCCTCCAGTCCCGAGGATGCTCTTTTCAACACCCTTGAAGCCCTTAGCCCCACCCTAGGAGGCTGCTAGGTTATCAGTAGGTCAGGGTTGCCTCCAGCCTAGCATTTCCAAAGAGCAGACAGCACCCTAACTTCTAACAAGGAGCACGGTGCTTGGCACGGGTAGGTGCTTAATAAATGTTTATTGACTATTGACTCCACCTCTTGTGTCTGTACCTGTTAAGGGTTTCCAAAGCACTCTACTTAAAACATCTGGGGCGGGGTAGGGGGGTGGGGAGTACACCATTATGGTCCCCATTTTACAAATGGGGAAACTGAGGCCCACCATGAAGAGACACAGCTTGGAGCTGAGCAGAGATTTGAACCCAGAGCTGGTACCTTTCCTCTATGGCATGCTGGATCCTCCGGCCAGGGCACCCTGGCACCACAGGCACGCCTTTGCTGGGGGCTCTGCTTCAACATCCAGCCTGCCCAAACCTACAGATTGCCCCTCCTCCCCCATCACTTGGGTTCTCCAGCCCTTGGGATGCTCTAGGGAGGCTCTCACTTGAGACTCAGACATTCCTCCCACCCCCGGAGGAGGCCGATGAGGGAATCGGCCTCAGGTTTTCAGTTTAGAGTTGGGAGGGCCAGGAAACTGAGGCCCAGAGGAGGAGAAGTGCCCTCGCAGGCTCGAGAGTGCCCCGTCTTCCATCTCGCGCAGATGGCCGTCTGGGCCGTGAATTCTAACCCACTTTGTCCAGGCCCCGCTGGGACTTGTGGGTGCGGCCGAGCCCAGGGGATCCTGAGATCCAGAACCAAAAAGTCTCCACAATGACTCGTCCTCCATGGCCCTGGGAGATGATGAATGTTTCTGGGTAACCCGAGCCCTGTATTATGACAACGCCTTGGCAGCCGCGCTGTGTTTAAAAAGAGAATTAGAAATGCTTTTCTTTCCTAATTCTCCTCTCCTGCTGGTTTTAATATGAGCGACATTGTGGTTAGCGAGAACATGTCTTGGCTGTTTTTTGCCAGAATGTTCATTTACATGGAAAACAGCTGCCAAGTGGCGGGACCCATACACATGCGGGAGTCATACAGCGGTACCCTGGACCTGGGCACGGCTGGTGCGCTCGGACCCGGGGCATACAGGAGAGGTTCTTCTGGCCCAGCCCACGTCCCAGAATCCCAGAGTCCCAGAGCCTCCAAGGGAACCCGGGGGAGAATCTGGTCCGAGCTGTTTTGTAATCAGGCTACGGTCCTGTCCCTGCAGCATCATGCCAAGTGATGGGGAGCTCATTACCCCCTGGGGCTGCCCATGCCGCCTTCCTTCTGTTACTTCATTAATCGCTTGCATGCGGGGCATTGGGCTCAGCTCGAGGGATGCAGGAAGGTCAGCTTTAAGCTGACCCCAGCCCTCCCAGGCTGGGAAGGATGGTGTTCAGTTTTTTCCTTCTTTACCATGACCAAACTGGAAGTCTCACTGTCCTCAAAGGTGCCCCCCACTTTCCCATCTCCCTGCCTTTGCTCACCCTGTTCCCTCCACCAGCAACATCCTCCACACCCTCCCGCCTGCCTATTTCTATAGACCCAGATCAGGTGCCACCTCTTCCTGAAAGCCCTCCCTGATTTACCCTGGCCTTCCACTGGACTTCACTTATGCCTCCCTCATATACTGTCACATTCTGTCACTTATCCATGGCTTGTGTCCCCGCTTAAACCATAAGCTCTTCCACTGCAAAGACCCTGGTTATCTAACAGTGCTCAATAATGGAACAGGACACCCTGTGAAGTAGGGAGCTCCCCATCAGCTGGTACAACAGTGGGGAGAATGCCGGCCTTGGAGTCAAGTCAGCAATGTGTCCAGTGCCTTCCGTGCACCACACACTGATGTCAAAGTGCTGACTCCAAGACCTGAGTTTGAATTCTGCCTCAGATTCCTAGCTGTGTAACAGGTATTTAAAGGAGGCTGACTGCCCAAGGACATTGGCAAGCGGATTCATGTTGGGTCAGGATTTGAAGCCAGGGGCCTCTGTGGTTCTGTCCGCTCATGTTTTGTCTTTGAATCCCTCACAGTAGTGAGCTCGTCTGTGCTAAACGGTGTGTGTCAGAAGACATGGGTTCGAATCCCATTTCTACCACTTACTACCTTTGTGGTTTTGGCCTCCAGTCGCTTCTCTGGGTCTCAGTTTCCCTGTCTGTAAAACACAGGGTTTGAACTGGAAGGCCTCTGAGGCGCCATTGGCGGCTGCCTGTCTTCTAACCCACCGCGTGTTCCTCTCCTAGCTGCACGTGTGCGCCGAGGTCGAGCCGGACGTCCTGAACGAGTGCCTGGGCATCCCCCAGGTCCACCCGCCCTCCCAGCATGTCCTGGATGGGAAATGCGGAAGACCCGTGGGCCACGAGCTGCTCCCAGGTAAGGCAGCAGCCCCGCCGGGCAGGTGGTTCTGGGGAGGAGCTGGATGGGGCCCCCCAAGTTCCTGATTCAATCTAGAACAGGCCCATTCAGAACATGGATTGGGGGGTAAACCACCGATGCAGCTGGATCTGAGAGAAGGGCTTGACTAATCCCTCCATAAGCATTTATTAAGCACCTACTATGTGCCAGGACTGGGGGTACAAAGACCAAAAGAGTCCCTGCCCTCGGGGAGCTTATACTCTAATCAAAGAGACAGCTTCTTCCTGGGGATTGCGCAGGGTAATGAATTTAATGCATAGTGATCTCAGAGGGGAAGGCCCTACTGGTGGGGGGCTCTGAGAAGGGCCGCCTGCACAAGGTGGGATTTGAGCTGAGCCTCAAAGGAAGCCGGGGCAGAAGGGAAGAGGGAGAGCCTTCCAGGTGTGATGGAGGGACGCTGAGGAACGTGGCCAGTGTGGCCAGATTGCAGGAAGGTGGAAGAAGACTGGAGAGGCAGGAGGGGCCTGGTGTGAAGGACTTTGAAGGCCAAATCGGAGCATTTTAACTGGATCCCGGAGGTGACAGGGAGCCAGTGCAGGTCATTGAGCAGGAGAGAGGACCTCTTTGGTGGTGAGTGGAGGATGCACTGCAGTGGGGAGGGACCTGAGGCAGGCAGATCTCCCTCCCCCCCCCCCCCCCCCAGGCTGTTGTAACAGTCCAGGGATGAGAGGACGAGGGCCTGCAGCAGCGTCCGAGGAGAGAAGGAGGTATGTCGGAGAGATGTTATGAAGGCAAAATCGGCAGCTTGGCTGGGGGGTCAGAGAGCCTGGGGTGACTTCCAGGCCGGGGCGGGGGATGGCATTATCCTCGTGGTGATAGGGAAACCAGAAGGTGGGGAGGGCTTAGGGGAAAGGTAATTGTACTTATTTTGAGATGTCAAAGAGTCGGGCTGTGAGACTGGAGGTAGGAGAGAGGTCAGGGCTGGATAAATGGGTCTTAGAAATCACGTGCGTGGAGGTGAACATTGAGCCACGGGAGCTGCTGAGGTCGTGGGGGAGTCCCATAGAATGGAAGAAAAGAGGGGCAGCCACGGTGAGAGGGCGGCTCTGGAGGAGGGTACTACGGAGGACTCTGAGAAGGAGCGGCCGGAGAGGCCGGGCTGGGCCCCAGCCCACCAACGGGGTCAAAGGCCTCAGAGAGGTCAAGAATGATGAGGACTGAGAAAGGCCGTTGGATTTGGCCACTAGGAGAGCGTGGGTAACCTTTCTTCCAAGTCCTCCCTAGTACCCTCGGCCCCAGCCTCAAATCTACCCAACCTCTGTCTTTGTCCCAACCTCACCAAGAACTGTCTGTGTGAGGAGCACTCATTCCGCAGCCCCCTAGAGCTGCACATCCTTCCTCCCTAGTGTGACCTGGGCCCACCCAGAGGAGCCTCAGAGAATGCAGGGGAAGGGGCCGCACCCAGCCCTGTCCACTGGGGACCTTGGGTACATCACTTCTTCTCAGGAGGACTCACTGTCCTCATCTGTAAAGGGATGTGGGGATGGAGCAGAGCTGGGTGGTCCTTGGCTGTCTAACAGTCTTTGTTCTATGTTCTAGCATGCTCTGGCTCTAAGGCCCCTCCCTGCTCTGACCTTCCCTGTTCTAAGGCCCCTCCCAGCCCTGACGTCCCCTGTT